AGGGGAGCTTTTTAAGTAAAGGAAAGAGAAAGTACAAAAGCCCCAAGAAGGGGGTATGCATAATGAAGTAAGGGCAAAGAGGCCACTGTAGCTGGAACACCTTGTCTGAGGGGAAGAGAAGGAAGAGATGAGGACAGAGAGGTAAGGGCACATTCTGTAAATCCTTGCAGGAAACTTTGAGAAATTTGACTTTTACTCTGAACAAGATGAGAAGTAATTGGAGGGTACTGAAAAAGTGAAATGATCTGACTCACATTTGAAAAAAACTCATTCCTGTTACCATGCCAACTACAGAGGGCTACTGAAATAATCCTCCCAAAATGACAACGGCTTAGCATAAGGTGATAGCAGAGAAGCAAGTAGGGGTGGTCGGATCTCAGATTTACTTTAAAGACAGAGCTAAGAAATTTGCTGATGGACTGGATATAAGGACTGACAGAAAGAAAGAAGCCCAAGATGCCTCCTTGGCTGGCCTTAGGAACTGAAAGCATAGTTTCCGTATTTACCAAGATGGGAAGTCAGCAGGAGGAGTAGGTCTGAGAGGAGGCTGTTTTAGGCATGCTATGTTTAAGGTGCTTATTAGGCATCCAAGTGAAGATACTGGGAAGTCAGCTGGATATACAAGGCTGGAATTCAAAAGAGAATCATAAAAATGTCCTTGTACATTACATGGTAATGATATATCTCAATTCTTTTATAAACAACTATGTCTTTCAATCTAAATAAATAATCTAATAAAATAATTGAAATTTCTAATGTATAGAATTTAAAATAATTATTTTCATTTATAATCGAAAGCCACTGACATTTCCTATCATACTAGGATATGATGACCAATTGCAATTATAAATTTGACATCTTAAGAGGAGAAAAAACTATAAATATAAAGACAAATCTGTAAGCCTAACATCACAATAAAAAAGAAAAAGTATGTAACTAAAGAATGTCCCCAAATTGGGACATATAAAAGGCAACAACCAAGTATGAATAACCTACTGATTTATAATAGAGCTGCCCAGCATATAACTGATGACCTTTTGTAGACACATGTTAGTAAGTTTTCTTATTTGGTTTCTCCTCAGAACATATTCCAATCTTATACTGAAAATAAGTAAGAGAATCATTTTCCATAAACATGTTGTATGGAATCAAATGTGCTAGGATTTATCTAATGTATAAAGCAATTATAAAATGATAAAGATATGAACTTTATTTTAACTGCCTGTAGCAGACAAAATGTAGGATTGTTTAAATGTTAATATTATTGTTCTGGTTTTTCTTTAGGTGGCATTCAATTATTTCATAAAATGTGAAGTCTAATACTAGACAGGGAATTTTGACCCAAGTCAAAAAACACAAACATGTAAGTCAAGCCAGATTGCTATTACAGTTCTTTTACTGCAGGGGTCCCCAACCTACAGTGAGTTGTATAATTATTTTATTGTACATTACAATGTAATAATACTAGAAATAAAATACACAATAAATGTAATGTACTTGAATCATCCCAAAACCATTTCCCCCCACACATCCCCCCCCCCCCCCCGGTCCATGGAAAAATTGTCTCCCATGAAAACTTGTCCCTGGTGCCAAAAAGGTTGGGAACTGCTATACAACTGTTAATGAAAACTAATGTTTCCTTCCTGAAGGCATCTGACATAGGCTGAACCCAACCAGAAGTAGAGGGCAAGGTAATCTGGGAGATGTGGTATGTAGAGACCAGTCTCCCAAGGCACAGAAGGCAGGAGAAAACTGGCTGGAAAATGAATTTTGCAGGAGAGGCATGCCAAACACAGCAGTAGTCAACAAAGAAAGAAGATTCTAGAGTGGAACGGCAAGATGCAGCTGAGTTGGTTTCCTCTGAACCAACCCTACCCTCCAAACTCCAGAAACCTCCTGGTCAATCAACATAAAAATCTCATTCATCTGCCTCACTTACAATGGATCACAAACTGAGTTGGTATCATATCTTGTTTCTGCCTGAGAAGTAGTGGAATGTTTACAGGTTTGAAGTGAGCACAATGGGGAGGTGAAAAATAGAATGATTTTCTCTAAAATAAAGATTACAGGTCTATTCTGGTAGAAAGTCTGTTCCCCTGTAAGAATTAGACAGAGTCCTCCAATTAAGAGGACTAAACCCTAATAATTGGCATTTAACAAAATCTCAGAATACAGAACCAAACTCAGCTGAGTAACTACTGTCTGTTCCTTACCCACATCCTCAATGCACCCATTATAAACTTTTCAAACAGAAAATAATAAAATTTCAGAACCATGCTATTGTTTAGTACAACTTCGTTCACCTCACAGATAAAGGAAATGAAACCCAACAAAGCTGAGCTACTTTCCTAAGCAGAAAGGAAATCAGAATCTGTATTTGTTAACTAAAGCCAGTGTTTTCTCTATTCCACTACACCAGGCTTACCATTAACAGTTCTGTTTTTATGTCAGACTCATTAAAGAATTCCCAACCCAGCATGATACCAACATTTAAATATTAGGTTGGTGCAAAAGTAACTGCGGTTTTAGCATCATTGAAATTTACCATTTGATACTGGAATACATTCTTAAATAAATATAGTTATGTTATACATAATTTTAACGTGCATATCTCACATCATATTTTTTGCTAATGACTTATTATTACTTGCTGTTTATTTTATATTTATTTTGGACTATGGAAATGATGTTAGACAAAAAGCAAATTCAAGTGATTTTCCTATCCAAGTTCAAAATGGGTCGTAAAGCAGTGGAGACAACTCGTAACATCAACAACACATTTAGCCCAGCAACTGCTAATGTATGTCTGGTGCAGAGGTGGTTCAAGAAGTTTTGCAAAGGAGACAAGAGCCTTGAAGATAAGGAGCGCAGTGGCCAGCCATGGGAAGTTGACAACGACCTGCTGAAAGCAATCATCGAAGCTGATCCTCTTACAACTACACGAGAAGTTGCCAAAGAACTCAATGTCGACCACTCTATGGTCGTTGGGCACTTGAAGCCAATTGGAAAGGTGAAAAAGCTTGATAAGTGGGTGCCTCATGAGATGACCAAAAATAAAAAAAAAATCGTCATTTTGAAGTGTCTTCTTCTCTTATTTGTACCCAACAACAATGAACCATTTCTTGATCGGATTGTGATGTGCAACGAAAAGCAGGTTGTATATGACAACCAGTGATGACCAACTCAGTGGTTGGACTGAGCAGAAGCTCCAAAGCACTCCTCAAAGCCAAACTTGCACCAAGAAAAGGTTATGGTCACCTTTTGGTGGTCTCCTGCCAGGCTGATCTACTACAGCTTTCTGAATCTCAGCAAAACCATTATATCTGAGAAGTATGCTCAGCAAATCAATGAGATGCACCGAAAACTACAACACCTGCAGCCGGCTGGCACTGGTCAATGGAAAGGTTCCATTTCCTCTCCATGACAATGCCAGACTGCATGTCGCACAACCAACCACTTCAAAAGTTGAACAAATTGGGCTACGAAGTTTTGCCTCATCTACCACGTTCACCTGACCTGTCACCAACTGACTACCACTTCTTCAAGCATCTCGACAACTTCTTGCAGGAAAAATGCTTCCACAACCAGCAGGATGCAGAAAATGCTTTCCAAGAGTTCGTTGAATCCCAAACATGGATTTTTACGCTACAGGAATAAACAAACTTATTTCTCGTTGGCAAAAATGTGTTGATTGTAATGGTTCCTATTTTGATTAATAAAGATGTGTTTGAGCCTGGTTATTAATATAATGATTTAAAATTCACGGTCTAAAACTGCAATTACTTTTGCACCAACCTAATATTTTTGTCTGGTTTTAAATCTCTAGCTTCCTATATCTTTTCATGATGTTCACTAAAACTCCTCACAGTGTTTACTGCCTCCAAAAGAGCTCATTCAACCTTGTAAAAATGAAAAACAGGCTAAGTAAATTAATTAGAAAATAAGTTACCTACATAGGTAAACTAAATCACTAAAATAAATGTATCAAAATACTTAACAGTTACAAAATGAAAAATGTATTCATTACTGTTTCCTGAAAAAGCTCTTCGTGACCTAACAAATTTATCCTCATAACTGCAATCTGAAGGATATACACATTAAAGAAACAAAATGTCCTTTGCTTGATGTCACAGTAGTCAAGCATTGTAAATCTCTAACACTTTTTTTAAACTGTCAATTTATCTGAAATAGAAATGTCCTTCACTTTCATAAATCCTATAGGTTAAATTCATCTCACTTGTTTATGAAATAAAATTACAAAAAGAGGCACACGGTGACACAGCATCAGCCATGTCTCATGAGGTTGTTTTTCTGGAGAAACAGTGGAGTTAGGGCAACTGCCAGAGGCAAAGAACCTCTCTATGTCATGTGTAGAAATCAAGACTTTTTTCTATTAGCCTAAACAAGTAACAAAGAATTATTTTTGTTCCCCTGAGGAAATATAATTTTTAAAATAACCATAATCTGGTAATTTAAAAGTTTTTTTCATAATTTTCTCACATTAAGCGCCAATGAGTTATAATACAAGAGCAAAGTATTTAGCTCAATGTCAATAAGTCAGATTCAATAATTTATATGTAAGTGGAAAGGACAATGATAGCCAAGACATTTCTGAAAAAGAAGAATCAAGAAAGAACACTTTAATCCACCAAATATCAAAACTCATAGTAATTAACTAAGAGAAGGTAGTACTCTCAAGGTTACACAATTTCAGAATAGAAAGCCACTACATAAAGCCACAGACTTATGGACCTGATACATGACAAAGGAAGAAGAAAGAACTGATTTTCCTTAATTCATATATATAGCGTGATGGTTAATTTTATGTGTCAATTTGGATTCAAGGTTATTCAATAGAAAAGAACAAGAGTTTTCATCTCAACCAATAAGATAACAGTAGAAAAACTACTTCAAAGTTTCATCTGTCAGATGCAGATATACAGATATAGACAAATACATAGATATCTTAATTCAGGATGTAAGAAATATCTCAAATGTACCTGTATGCTGCCAAATTCAACATTCTCATAATGGAAATGGGCACACTCAGCCATTTTCGGAAAGTGACCCTTAGTGAAGGGTAACCTGAAATACATGAAAATAATTAAGAAATAAGATAGTGGTATAGTCAAAATTACTAAGTCTAAGGGGAAAATTCAATGAATTTAAGAGCTCATGCAAGTAAAAATATTTAAAAGCGCATGCATCTTAGCCACACATATCCACACAAACCCTTTCAGAAATACACTGAATCAAATGAGTATTATACTTAGTATACAGATCACAATCAAAAATAAAAAAGCATCACTGTACTCTGTTAATCTTGACTGTACTTTCAGCAAATGTCATGGAAACTGACTGTGAACAGCCAGCTTCTAAACAGAACCAGCATTCTCAACACAAAACACAAAACCAGATTTTACCTGTGAATATTGTCACAGCCCATCAGTCCTGGAGTGGTGGACCTGGACGCAGAATTAACATTTTTATCCTTATCTTTCCTCTACTGACGCATGAAATACAGCAATCTAACTCTTTACCAAGTGAAAAGATGTTAAACAGAAAATGTTTAAACCTGAATGGGGTACCTTCAAGTACAGGTTGACATATCCCTTATCCATAATGCATGGGACCAGAAACTTTTGGATTTGGGAATTTTTCAGATTTTTTTCAGATTTTGAAATAACTGCATATACAAATGGAGTATCTAGAGGATGAGACCCAAGTCTAAACATGAAATTCATTTGTATTTCATATATACCTTATCCAGAGCTGGAAGGAAGTGTTATATAATATCGTTAATAAAGTTGTACATGAAATAAAGTTTTGACTGCAAACTGTCACATAAGGTCAGGTGCGAAATTTTCCATTTGTGCTGTCACGTAGGCAGTCAAAAAACTTTCAGATTTTGGAGCACTTCAGATTTTGGATATTCAGATTAGGGACGCTCAACCTGTATTTCACATAACAGTCAACTCTCAGCATCTATTTTATGCTTCTCAAAGGCAAACCTGAGATCCAGCAATCTTACAACTCAAACAACAAAGATGATTTTCCTCAATAAATGAGAACATGCATTAAAGGTAACAAAAAGGATATAGTTGGACTGTTCCTGTTAAACAAATGCAACATAATAGACAATCACATAAGTTGTTTCAAGAAAAAAATAAAGTATATTTTTAGATGAATGGATCGTCTGTAAAGCTACTTAAACTAATTTTTGAGTCATAATTTAAGGATTAAAACTATAATACGTGCACAGTTAAGAGTATATTTATTAAGGAATCTAACTAAAATTTTTAAGAGAAATATAGAACTAATCTCCATTTATAGTAATTCATACAGGTATCACTCTAAAGTTATACTTACTTTTTCACATGTTTAACCTTCATACTGGCTGTACTACCACATGTCTTAAGAGTAAGATCTCCAGGAATCTCTGGAACATCTGCTCCTCTTGCCTTAAAAAAATAAAGACAAAATTTTTATGATATTCCTTTATTATTATTAATACTTTTTAAAAGGAGATTATAGTTAATTTTAATGGTTCTGCTGACTTGTACCAACAAAAATACATGTTGTTAATAATCTCTTCTTAAATTTATAACCTGAGTTTTAATTATTTAAAATAAAAAATCTTCACATAGTTTAAATATTTAGCTTTATTATATAGGGGAAAACTCTCTGTGAAAATAAAAATTTTCATGCTCTTGTAAATCAAATTTCAAAATAAGCTATTACATTATGTGTCGCAATTCAAACTAAAATCTCCCCTGACAGTTGCTGGAATAAAATTAATTTGGTTACTATGATTAATATAGGTTAAAATGATAATTTGAACATAATTAAGATATCAAAACATGCATTTCTCACACCAAAATCTCAAAATGACATGTATATAATATTTCCAACTTACTCCTTAGTGTGTCATAGTTTTCACAGTGGTGAATTTTTAACTTTAGGGGCACATTCAGCTGACATTATTCAAAATTTAAAAAACTGAAAAAATTAAAAAGTTCTTAAACACTTTGGACACAATAAAAATCAAGTCCAAATATCTATTTTTAAAAAAATTTATGTTATAATACCTATAATAGATAACAGAAAAACTGAAGCTGAATTACTACAGCCCATGCCACATAATTCAATAGAGGAGAATAATGTGGGATAAGCAGAGTAAGTTGAGAGGAGAAATCACAAACTTGACTACATTTTTTAAATGTCTTTTTATGAAAAAAAAATAGCCAAAATAATCAATATGGTTTGAATAAATGTTAAAAGACACACACACACACGCACACACACCTTCCCAAAGATGTAAAGTAACCATGCATAAACTTAAAAGAATTAACCCTTGGTACATTACCATGGTCCATCAGACTGAACTATTGTATTTGAGGTTTTTTCCCTTAACAAATTTAACTATTTATAAGGATTGCTTTGCTATGCTGAATCCTTCTTAGATGTCTTTTTATTCCTTCTTAGAGGTCTTCCAAAGGAAAAAAGAAAATGTACTAATCTCTTTAGTAATACAATAGAATTATTCCATCTTAAAATTACCATTATGGATCCACTGGATCTTTTTATAAGTCTAAGACAGAATCTTACTGATTTTTTCTCTATCTTGAGAAAGTTATTTCATAATCCTAGGCATTATTTCAACATCATTGTTCATCAATTATTCCACGTATTATTAATCTATTATTCCACCAATACACCATGCTAAAAAAATTTTAAGAGACTAAAAAATAGGAAGTAATTTTTTTCAAAAAGAGGAAAATAAGAGAATATCCTAGAAAGGAGCTTGACAAACTTTTTCTTAAAGGACCAATTAGTAAATATTTGAGGCTTGTGGGCCACAAAGTCTCTGCCCACTACTCAACTCTGCTACTGTACTGCAAAAGCAGCCACACATAAATGACCAAACACAGTCACATTCCAACAAAACATGATTTGCAAAATCAGGCAGCCAGATCATACGGGAGGGCGCCCAGAAGATGGCGGATGAGAAACACCGCCAGACAGAGTGTCTCTGCAGAAAAGACAGATTCTAGCAGAAATTAGAAGCAAGAAGACGAGCCTACATCGCATGAGGGTCGGAAGGAGGAGTACCTGAGACCACGGGAGACTCCACGGGAGAAGGTCACGGAGGAGAACTGGAAGCTGAGACCGCTGGAGCAGCCTGGAGACCAGCGGTAAGTGTAGGTGGATCGGTCGTTTCCCCTCCCCTGCATCCCGGATTGCTGGTGGGCTCCCCAGCGGGTGGCGAGACCTGCGGACACCAGCGCAGCAACGGCCGCTGCCAGTGAGCGGTAAGCCAGTAGCGAACGCGGCACCAGGATCCCAACTCCCTCGGGCACCTCCGTGTGCACAGACCCAAGCCACAAGGCAGACGCCATATTGCCTCCTTCTCCCCTCCCCCGACCCTACCCACGGCTGCCCAGAGAGACAGAGAGACAATATAGCCACCAGCCAGAGGCACCTAAAGGTAATGGGCACCTTCCCTTTTGGGGCCCTACAGCTGACTAAGGGGAACTCAGACTGTGAGCTCCCTATCCGCCAGCCCTCCGAGGTGCTGCTGGCACGGTGATCCCAGGAGAACGGGGCAAATTCTGAGGTTGAGAGACATAAACCCAGCGTAGGCTCCCTGTGGGTGAATTGGGACTGGCACTGCTCTCCCTGCTGGGGATACAGTTTGAACTCTGGGACCCAGAGGTCAGACCTGCAGACCAGATCCCGAGCACCGAGGTCTCGCATTGCCCAGGGCACAGAAGGGATATACTGAACAGCCTACTGAGGTGTGTGTGCCTTCAGGGGCAGATCAGCGTCCTAGAGAGCAACCCTCCCCCAAAGGGAGGCCGTGTGCCCAGCCCAGGTAGCGTTCCTGCACAGGGAACCTCCCCACCAGCAGCACAGCCAGGGGAGGCATGGTGGCGTGTGGTCTGGCCTGCTGCCAGAGGCCCAGGAGTAGCTGCGGAGTTGGGGACGGTGGAAAGAAGCGAGGCCCGCTCCAGACTGCGGGTCTCAGACACCTCCAACCCCCCACGCAGACTCTCTGACTGAGCGAGGACATTCCAGCCCCTCCCTGTAAGCTTTGCCTGGAAGCAGAGAACAGAACTTTGACCCCTGCTAATGGCATTGGTGGTGCCTGAGGGCAGGCTTACCCAACCCAGTTCTGCCCAGAATCTCTCCTAGACCAGCCCTCACTGAAGGGGAGAAAAGGACACACCTGGAAGTCCCAGGGCCCCACCCACCACCTGAGGCACTAGAGTGCCTCTCTACAGGAACAAGACCTGATAATGGGACACAAAAAAAACAGCGTAGCTTGTTCCTCCAAGCAAGCGCCACCTGCTGACAGAGAGGGCATCCTGCACACCCTTTTCACGGCACCTACTGACTCATTATACAGGGAGTGGTCGAATCTCACCCACAGACACAACCTACAGGCTCAGAACTAAACAAGGCGTGTGAATACCAAAACAAACATCTAAAGAAAAGAAACAACAACTGATCAACATGGGAAGAAATCAGCGAAGGAACTCAGGAAATATGAAGAACCAAACAGAAAACAAACCCCCAAAGAGGAGCCCCAGCCCCCTAGAAATGGGCACCAACCAAAATCAGGCAAACAAAATGACAAAAGAGGAATTTCGTATGTGGATCATAAGAACACTCACCGACTTGCAAGAACAACTCAAAAACCAACACAAATAAACCACAAAAAGCCTTCAGGATCTGGAAAAACAGTTCACTAAAGAAATAGACACAATGAAGAAAAGTTTAACCGAACTGCTGGAAGTGAAGAATCAATTCAGGGAACTACAAAATACAGTGGAAATTCTCAAGAATAGGGTAGATCAAACAGAAGAAAGAATCTCAGAGCTTGAAGATAACACACTCCAACTAAATAAAACAGTCACAGAGATAGAGCAGAGAAACAAGAGAAAAGAGCAAAGCCTACAAGAGATGTGGGACTATGTGAAAAAACCGAATGTGAGGGTCATAGTGTTACCAAAAGGGGAAGAAGACAACACTCAAAGGTTGGACAAGCTATTGAAAAATAATACGAGGAAAATTCCCAGGCCTTGCTCAAAATCTCGGGTTTCTACAAGTTCAAGAAGCCAGAGGACCCCTAGGAGATTCAATGCAAACAGGAAGACGTCACGACATGCAGTCATCAGACTGACCAAAATATCAACTAAAGAGCCTTCAAGAGCTGTAGACGAAAAGAAGCAAGTGACATACAAGGAAAGCCAATTCGAATAACACGAGACTTCTCTACTGAGACTTTACAAGCAGAGAGACTGGGCCCCATTCTCACTCTTTTACAAAAAGCCCAGGCTAGAATCTTATTCCCTGCAAAACTAAGCTTCGTATAAGAACGAGAAATAAAGACATTCTCAGAAAAGCAAAGGCTCAGAGAATTCACCAAGCAGGACCGCCTAACAAGGAATACTCAAAACGGTGTTACGCACGCACATCATAATAATAACCCACGAATATAAAACAACCAAACCAAAGATTAGAGCAGATATTACAATGGCTCAAGACAGAAATCATAGCAACAACATCCAACCCAACAGATAAGTAATCTACCTACCTATCAGTTCTCTCCATAAATTGAATGCCTTAAACCTCCACTCAAGAAACATAGCTGTGAATGGATAGACATACAGGCCAAGTATATGCTGTCTTCAGGAAACACATCTAACCTGCAAGGTGCATACAGACAAAAGTAAAAGGTGCAGATCAGTATTCCAAGCAAATAGAAGCGAAAAAGGCTGGCGTGCAGTTCTAATTCAGACGATTTAGTTTTTTTTTTTTTTTTTTGAGACAGAGTCTCACTCTGTTCCAGCTAGAGGAGTGCCATGGCGTCAGCCCTTGCTCACAGCAACCTCAAACTCCTGGCTCGGAGCGATCCTTCTGCCTCAGCCTTCCAAGTAGCTGACTACAGGCATGCGCCACTGCCGCTAATTTTTTTTATATACATATCATTTGCCAATTAATTTCTTTCTATTACAGTAGAACAGGGTCTAACTCTTGCTCAGGCTGGTTTTGAACTCCCTGACCTTAAGCAATCCGCCTGCCTTGGCCTCCCAGAGAGCTAGGATTACAGGCGTGAGCCACCGCGCCTGGCCTTGTTTTTAAATTTACCAACAAAAGTAGTGAAAGACAAAGAGGATCATTATATAATGGTGAAGGGCACACTTCAACAGGAAGACATAACAATTTAATAATACGCACCCAACTTAAGTGCACCCCAGATTCATAAAGCAAACCCTTACTCGAGCAAGCAAAGGACTTAATAGCAACTCCATAATCACCGGGATTCAACACCCCGAAGTGACGCACGGACAGATCCTCTCAACAAGAAAACTAATCAAAAAGAACATAATGATTAAACAAAATCTAGAACAATTGGGTCTGATTGACATTTACAGGACATTCATCCCAAAATCCA